AGGAAAAAAGGGAATCCAGGACACAAACCTATAAAGACAGGTGACGCTAATTTTGTGACTGCAAGCAGTGGGGGTTTCAAAGTGAAGCCATTACTAGGTACCATTCTGAAATCCCCGAGTGTTCAGGGAAAAAAAATGTTATGAAGAGTAAATTTTGTGTGTTTTGGAATCTAATAGTAAGGCATGGGTCACGAGGGAAATTTTCGTCGAGGGTTCAATGAAATGTTTGGCCCTAGTGGAAGGGGGTATCTCCTGGAAAGAAGTTGGACTCAAGGCCTCTATATGGACAATGCACCCGCCATCCTCCAAAACTTGGATGACCAATTTTTTGGGGGTTTGGGGTTTATCACAGTAAAATTTTGCCCCCCGAATACCACTCCTTCCTCCAACCCTTGGACCAGGTTTTGCAAAATAAAAAAATCTACCAAAAGCAATGTTTCACCGGGCTTGACTGTGACCACAGACACTCACTTGCCCAAGGGGGGAAATTTTTGGGGAGAACACTTTAGCATCCTCCACTGCATAACCCTTAAAATATGGGTTTGGGGGGAGGACTACCCGGGGCTTTGAACTCTGCCGGAGAAAAAATTTGGCCGATTTTGGGCGACAAGGGGATTTGAAAATTTTGGGGCTGACCCTAAGGCCTTGTCTGTTGTAAAATCAATTGTTGCACTGGGGGGTTCCATAGGTTGGGTGGGTTTGGAGATGTGGGGAATTTTTTGGGGAAAACCACATATGTGGGGTAAATGGAAAACTTTATGGAGAAACATCACCCTAACAAAGGTTTTCCAAAACCAGGTTTGGGAACAATACATGACAAAAATCTTGGGCCCCTTTTTGGGAAGTGTTAAAAAGTGCCCGAAAAAGAGCCTTCCCCAGTTATTTTGTGAGACAGGGGCTCCATGTCCAATGGAGGGCATTAAGAAAAAAAAAAAAGAACCCCCGAAAAACAAAACCAAAAGGGGGCCCCCCAAAAAAAATCCAAAAAAAAGCCCCAAAAAAAACCAAAAAAAGGAAAAAAGCAAAAAACATTTCCCCTTTAAAGAACAAAACAACAAAAAAAAGACCTTGCAAAAAAAAATTTAAAAAAGGGGGAAAAGACGTAAACAAAAAAAAGGCCCCAAAATTTAAAAAAACAGGGCCCCAAAAAAAAAATTATAATTAAAAAAAAAAAAAAAAAAAAATTTTATATTTGCCGGGGGAAAGGGGATTCCCCTTTCCAAATTTTTAAAAAAACTTTTTTTTCTTTTTCCACTCCCCCTGGGGACCCTTTGGAAATATCTTTTTAAAAAATTTTATTACATTTCAATTTGTTTTTTTTTAATAAAATAAATTCCAAATTTTATTTTTTCGTTGAACATTAAAATTTTTTTACTTTTTTTTATGAATATTTTAACGTATTTTGTTTTAAAAAGAAAAGGCCCCAAGGTTTTATGGGGCCCTGTTTTTTTGGGGGTTTTTTATTTTAAAAAAAATTTTGGGGGTTTTTATTTAAAAATTTCGTTTGGCTTATTACCCAAAAAAGGAATTTTTAATCTTGGGCGATTGTGGTAAAACCCGTTTTTTAAATATTTACTTTTGATCCCAAATTTAAATTCTATAGGTTGTCTCTTGCCATCTTTACTATACCTTTTTTGTTAGCATGGGACATCAACAAGGTGGGGAAAAAAGTCTATGAAAGAAAAATCCCATTTGTTTCCCCCTTTTTGGGTAATAACATACAACATTTTCAAATGGGTTTTTCCTGTTGAAGTATTTTGCATTTCACTAGTTAACCCTTTCAGGGTCCGTCCCGTAGATCTACGGCTTTACGTTCAGGGTCCAAACCGTAGATCTACGCCATGAGCTCAGCTCACTCTGATAAACTGTGAGTGGTACATTTGGGCCTAGATATGAGAGAATACATCTATGTGGTATGTGTGCACCACATAAAACAGATCCTGCAACACACTGTGTATAATGAGAGAAAAAAAATGAAATCATGATTTTTCGATTAAAACAGCAACTTTGCAGTGTTTTTTCGTATGTTTTTTATAGTTGTATTTGCGATTTCTTGGTCTCATTTGATAGAATGGAAGACATATTACAGAAATAGGGATGATTTTGATTGGTTTTAGCACTGGAAATGGCTTGAAACTGAGCTCAATGTAGCGGAAATGTTAAATTTTTGCCGATATTCAAGAGTAAACAAACGACCTCACACATCTAATACACGTCAGCTGGTGGGTCTAATATACATTCACAAATATGGTGATGATATTTATACAATTATTACAGTATTGCATAACAGTAAATCTTCTTTTTTTTGGTGTGAATAAAAATTCATTATGTGAATAAAAAATCAAAATGGAATTTGTTTGTAAAGCCTCAAAACATAACTAATGAACAGAGGAAATGTTAGTTTAGTGCCAGGAATGCCTACATTGTTCATTCTGGACCCTATTTTGAAATTGGAATATTTTGAACTTTGTGTTAAATTGGCCAAATTAACAATTTCCGATCACTTTATTTTGTAGTTGAAACAGTTGACTTGGCGATTTCTTGTGCTCAATCGATAGAATAGAAGTAATACTAGTGAAATAGCTAAGAATTTGGTTGATTGGAATAATGTAATTGGCCTAAAATGGGAGTCAAAGTCGGCAAAATCGCCGATTCGTAAATGTCGCTGACACATCAAAATTCGCGAGAGCATAATTTCGTCAATTTTCCACCAAATTTCGTACTTTTTGTTTTGTTACCTTCACAAAAAGATTCTCTACGATTTCATAAGAAAAAATAACAAATTTTTTTTTTGAAAATTCTTGGACACTGGTGCGTGACTCCAGATTTGGGCCTTGGACCCTGAAAGGGTTAATAGTGGTCAACACAGTCACTTACCACCTATCATGCCACCCAAATGTTATGATGTTATCTATGAAAGGCTGCACCTGATTTTCTTGGGTAAGTACACTAAATTTGGGCATATGTTTCCTCACTCCTTGAACTGTGCTGAAATGTCAGTATTTTTTCTCAGAGGTGATGACAGAGTAAAGGTCTTTTGTATCAGTTATCAATGTACTATGTATGCCCCTTACCAATATACAGCTTCATCATTTCCTTGACCACATCACCAGAGATATGGGGTAATTTTGAGTCATTTTCTATTGTTGTCCATCCTGTGCAGACAATCAAATCAATGAACATGTCACTCTCACAATCACAAATGAATAGTCTGATACTAAAGTGACTTGGTTTGCTTAGTATGCACTGTCTGAATGACATTCATATCTTAAACAGTGTCAAAGATTCATCAATCACAAGATTTTTAAATGGGCAGAAAAATTTGCTCATCTTGTCTTTCAAATACATGAACACTTCCCTGATTTTGAGTAACATACAGGATTATCCTTGTTAGAGAACTGCAACACAAATGAGGTCACCAAACATCGGAGTACATGCGTCTTGTTATCCAATATTTAGCAATACTGTTCTCATGTACATGTGACATGAGCATAATAGTGGCAAAGAACAAATACATTGATGCCAAGGTAGTGTCCTTCCATTCATACAGATGTGATAGTGTTGAAATATTTGTGTTTGCCAAAGTACACCTGGAATATGCATTCATTTACTATACAATAGGCTGCACCTGGGCATTATCATACAATAACTCAAGTTCATTAAAGTCCTCTGTCACAGTACAATGTGATTTTATTCCACTGTTGTGTCACCAAATGACATAAATGTGCTGTAGACCATACCCCCGGCCGGGATTGAACCCGCGGTCATAGAGTCTCAAAACTCCAGCCCGTCGCGTTAGCCACTAGACCAGCTAGCCACAATAAGATTCATCCAACTAGGTATATTTCTACACCATAGGAAAGTTAGCACAGGCACCTCTGTGACCACAAATGCAAGTTTTTACAGACGAATCTCCAGCTAGCGTGGCCGTGACGAACTCTAGCTCAAGTCACGGCCACGCTAGCTGGAGATTCGTCTGTAAAAACTTGCATTTGTGGTCACAGAGGTGCCTGTGCTAACTTTCCTATGGTGTAGAAATATACCTAGTTGGATGAATCTTATTGTGGCTAGCTGGTCTAGTGGCTAACGCGACGGGCTGGAGTTTTGACTCTATGACCGCGGGTTCAATCCCGGCCGGGGGTATGGTTTATTTGCAATCGTGTCATTATGATTTCTTGAGTCATGTGCTGTAGTCCTGTCAACTCCATGTGCAGTCTGGTGGAAGTGGTGGTTGCAATGGTCGCCATGACCACCATAATCATCACTATTGCTGTCAGATGGCTGTAAAGTGCATGGTAACCATGCACTGAATATTGTATATGGAGCACTTCATGACCTGGTATATCACTGGCGAATATTGTGTGTCACTATCACTAGAATCATCACTCGCCTCATTAACACTAAGTTCTCATCACTGCTTAGAACTTGGCCAAAGCGACAAGAAAACTTCCATTTTCTCTTGCATTGTTGTTCCTGGCTGGGAGACTCCAACCAGGCATGTGGTCCTCAGAATTTGGGCTGGTGCTTGGGATGTTTCCAGCGTCACTTTCACCCACACGAGTACTAAACTCCAAGTTTTCAACACTGTTCCCCATATTAGTTTCATCCGGTCAAGCAGATGGTTAATCCTCCTTGGAGTGAGTGTTTGATGATGGTGCAACATGGTAAACAATGTAGTGGCTTCCACAATGCCCAGCACACACCAATTGTCAATTGTCATCATTCTGGAGGCACTAGAATATAGACATAAATTTACATTTTCAAAATTTTCCCAAGCGATGTAAGTCTGTCATCGGCAGCTTAAGGGTTAAGTAAAAAACTGTTTAATCAAATCCTAAAAAACATGAAATCAGGACAACATTCAATATCAGGTGTGTTTCCCCTCACTACAGTTAATGTTTTCTTATTAGGGAAAACAATAACTATTTCTCACAGTACCTATACATTATATTGGGATGGTATACCTGCATTTTCATAAGTGAAAATTAAATTATACTCACTCCTCCAGTAAGGCCAAACACTTTCTCCAGTTCATGTGGTGGCAAAACTTCATAGCCCACAACACTTTCCTTGAAACCTGGGGCATATTCCTCTACTATATTAAAAATCTGAAAAATTCATGGTTTAATATTATTATGATATACAGTACTTATGTGTGGTATATATTTTTACTAATAAAAATAGCTTCAGGTACTGGGGATAAACAGTGTATAAACTTTAATGACAAAATATAATCATAATTTAACCTGGCTGAAAAGTATGGTCTCTTCCATGAATTATGCTTTGGAAACAGCAGTCATTCAAACAATCATCATTCAACACTTTCACCTCACTCACACATAATCACTGTTTTTGCAGAGGTGCTCAAAATACAACAGCTTAGAAGCATATATGTATAAAGATACACAACATATCCAACCAAACTGCCAATATCCTAAACCCCTCCTTTAAAGTCCAGGCATTGTACTTCCCATTTCCAGGACTCAAGTCCAGCTATATAAAAATAACTGGTTTCCCTGAATCCCTTCACTAAATATTACCCTGCTCACACCCCAACAGCTCATCAGGTCCCAAATACCATTCCTCTCCATTCACTCCTAACACGCTCACGCACGCTTGCTGGAAGTCCAAGCCCTTCACCCACAAAACCTCATTTACCCCCTCCCTCCAACCTTTTCGAGGATGACCCCTACCCCGACTCCTTCCCCAACAGATTTATACACTCTCCATGTCATTCTACTTTGATCCATTCTCTCTAAATGACCAAACCACCTCAACAACTTCTCTTCAGCCCTCTGACTAATACTTTTATTAACTCCACACCTTCTCCTAATTTCCACACTCTGAATTTTCTGCATAATATTTACACCACACATTGCCCTTAGACAGGACATCTCCACTGCTTCCAACCTGTCTCCTCGCAGCATTTACAACCCAAGCTTCACACCCATATAAGAGTGTTGGTACCACTATACTTTCATACATTCCCTTCCTTGCCTCCACAAATGAAGTTTTTTCGTCTCCACATATACCTCAACACACCACTCACCTTTTTTCTTTCATCAATTCTATGATTAACCTGATCCTTCATAAGTCCATCCGCTGACACGTCAACTCCCAAATATCTGAAAACATTCACTTCTTTCATACTACTCTCCAATTTGATATCCAATTTTTATCTAACATCTGATACCCTCATCACCTTACTCTTTTCTATGTTCACTTTCTACATTTACACACTCTCCCAAACTCGTCCATCAACCTTTGCAATTTTTCTCTAGAATCTCCCATAAGCACAGTATCATCAGCAAAAAGTAACTGTGTCAATTTCCATTTTGTATTTGATTCCCCATAATTTAATCCCACCTCTCTCCTGAACACCCTAGTATTTACTTCTTTTACAACCCCATCTATAAATATATTAAACAACCATGGTGACATTACACATCCCTGTCTAAGACCTACTTTTACCGGGAAGTAGTCTCCCTCTCTTCTACACACACTAACCTGAGCCTCACTATCCTCATAAAAACTCTTTACAGCATTTAGTAACTTACTACCTATTCCATATACTACTTGCAACATCTGCCACATTGCTCCCCTATCCACCTATCATATGCCTTTTCTAAATCCATAAATGCAATGAAAACTTCCCTACCGTTATCTAAATACTGTTATCTAAATACACTTGATCTACACATCCCCTACTCACTCTGAAACCTTCTTGCTCATCCGTAATCCTACATTCTGTCTTGCCTCTAATTCTTTCAATAATAACCCTACCATACACCTTTCCTGGTATACTCGGTAAATTTATTCCTCTATAATTTTTACAATCTCTTTTGTCCCCCTTCCCTTTATATAAAATAATTATACATGCTCTCTGCCAATCCCTAGGTACCTTCCCCTCTTTCATACATTTATTAAACAAAAATACCAACCACTCCAACACTATATCCCCCCTGCTTTTAACACTTCTGTCATGATCCCATCAGTTCCAGCTGCTTTACCCCCTTTCATTCTATCTAATGCCTCACGCACTTCCCCCACACTCACATCCTGCTCTTCTTCACTCCTAAAAGATGGTATACCTCCCTGGCCAGTGCATGAAATTACTGCCTCCCTTTCTTCATCGACATTTAAAAGTTCCTCAAAATATTCCCGCCATCTACCCAATACCTCCATCTCCCCATCTACTAACTCCCCTACTCTGTTTTTAACTGACAAATCCATTCGTTCCCTAGGCTTTCTCGTTTATCTCAATCTAAAATTTTTTCTTATTTTCATCAAAATTTCTTGACAGTGCCTCTCCCACTCTATCATCTGCTCTCCTTGTTTACTCTCTCACCACTCTCTTCACCTTTCTTTTACTCTCCATATACTCTGCTCTTCTTATAACACTTCTTCTTTGTAAAAGCAGAAGTGTTATAAGAACCTTTTTCTCTTTTATCTCACCCTTTACTTCATCATTCAACCAATCACTCCTCTTTCCTCCTGCACCCACCCTCCTATAGCCACAAACTTCTGCCCCACATTCTAATACTGCATTTTTAAAACTATTCCAACCCTCTTCAACCCCCCCACTACTCACACTTGCACTAGCCCACCTTTCTGCCAATAGTTGCTTATATCTCACCCAAACTTCTTCCTCCCTTAGTTTATACACTTTCACCTCTCTCTCACTTGTTGTTGCCATTTTCCTTTTGTCCCATCTACCACATACTCTAACTGTAGCTACAACTAAATAATGATCCGATATATCAGTTGCCCCTCTATAAACACGTACATCCTGAAGCCTACCCATCAACTGTTATGTAATGGCTTGGCAAAGCACCTGGAGAGCAAAACGTTGCCATAATAAAATGTCACATTAGCTGCACTTGCATCCTTTTACCTAACATATTGTTGGTAATTCTACCAACATTATTACTACTTCAAGCTATTTCTGGTCTGAAATTGACCAAAAATCATCTCCATTTCACTACAGCCTCTCCTCACTTAGCGATGTACTCATTTACGACAACTCAGACTTGCAACGAGCTCTCTGACCAGTTTGCATACCTAAATACTGTATATTAGAGCTGATTTCCTCTATTCTGTTTATTACAATATACGGTACACTACTGTATAAATATTTAAAAATACACCAGAAATGTTATAAATGGTACAAAGGTCACATTAAGACAATATCCAAGATGGTTGACACAAACCCACTGCCATTATAGTATGCTCCTCACTTAGCGACGAATTCGGTTACCAACATTGTCTTAGGAACGGAACTCCATCATTAAGTAAGGAGAGGCTGTATATGTTTTCCATTCTATCAATTCATATCAAGAAACAACCAATGAAACTTTAAAAACTACCCTAGAAACACTTCAGTCAGTATTTTAAACCTAAACAAAAGATCTAAGGTTTACTTTTCCCATCAAGCACTGTGTGAAGCAGGATTTTTTTTATACTCTACACACCTACCATGCAGGACCTTTACCTCACATCTAGGTCAAAATTTACATCTCAACATATATAAGGATGCTGTGCTTAAAACAGACCTATGTGAGCGACTCTGACATCAATGACATATTATTATAAAAAAAAACAAGCACTAAACCCATAGATTTACGTAAGACAGTGAAAGGGTTAACTACAGCTCCAGCAGTGTTGTCCCCGAGGAAAGGTAACTCGATGATGAAGGTCTATTGAGTCAAAGAGCTTAACCACCCTTCCCTTCCTTGGATCAAACCTGATTACCTTCCATTCTCCTACGAGTTATGGGCTTCCCCATGATAATAATAATGCTAATTCTGAAATTCACTGGATCAATAAAAGAAAGATATATATAATGGGTCAATTAAATACCATTATGCATGTTTTCAAGAAAATAACATGGATGGTTTTTAATTTAAATGTTAAAAGCTTTTGCTAGATTAACAAAAGTATACATGATTGTATTTCCTGTAATACTGCTCAAATGGCATCAATATTAAAATTCATAAAATGTGTATAAAATGAAATGAATTCAGGTTTCAGAAATTCCAATGAATACACAGTACAGTTATTCATATATTGTTTGCCTAGTTAAATTAGCCCACCCAATAATCACTATGTATCACTCAAGTATCCAGCTATGTGGAAGCTCCCTAGGTTGGCTAAAATAAAATATTTAATACAGCATAAGTTCCAAAGTATGAACAAATAAATTGTCTGCACCACTATAATATTTTGAGCTCACAAGAGAGTAAATGAGCCATTTCAATATTCAGCATCTGAAGCAGTATTTACATATCCTTTGTTTCCTTTTGTTTGTATCATCACTGTTACAACATGAGGAAACTGGATATAATACTGATAATGTATATACTGCATGTATATTGTGTATACCTTGCATCATATTAAGACTAATTTTTTACTTTGAGAGCCTTACTCACAATCCCACTGTTTTTGTTTTATTGTATTGTATAAATTATGATCTGAACATTTTATCTAACTTTGTTCAATTTATCAGTGGTGTATCTAAGAATTAATTACATTTCTAATAAGCCATTATCACAACTAGCTCATAATAATCTTGCTGTTAGCTGCAACTTACCTACAATACTTGCCTTGATCTGCCTCCAGTCTCATGTTACGTATCAAACAAACTCTAGACACCATGAATAGACATATGAAGCCTTTATACTAACAAAATAAGTTGACTAAGAAAACCTTACCTTGTTAGCATATTCTATTTTGGCATTCTCATCCCAAGGGCAGCCGCCAGCAAGAGTGTAGGGCACGTACTGAGTAAAAAACAATGCCACATGGCACCCAGGTGGCGCTAAGGTGGGATCACAGCTGCTTGGAAGTGTCATTTCTATATGGGTTTTGAGAAAAAAGGGGAATAAGGAATAATTTTTTAAAAAAAAACCAGCATAAAAATTTTTAAAAATATTTTTTGAATAATCTACAATGAAGACAGGGATACATCATTCATGTATTAAAAGATTCAAAACAAAGAAATAATCTTTTTCACCTTCGGGTAAGTGATGTCACTGAAATTAAGCTCCCCCAGGTTGGTAATTTATTTTATCTGTTTTGGGGACTTCTCCCAAAAGGTTTATAAATTTCATTAGCCTAAGGAACCCTATGCCCTGACACTGGGTCATAAATAAAAAAAATAGTCCTCTCTATTCTGGGCCTTATCAAAATTTTTGATTTTTATAGACAGAAAAATCATCACTTTCACTTTTTACCTTTAAAGAAACAGTTCCATTTTTTAAATTATTTATTCATTAATTCTTTTGTTGTTGTACTGTTTTAAAAATTTTTAAATAGAAAATTAGTAAGAAAAAAGAGGGGAAAATTTCTAAATATTTTGGGGCCGACCACAAAATTTAAATAATGTCCAGGATAGATTAAAATGAAAATTTTTTCATTTCTAACTTGCAGGTTACTTGTTTTGATGGTTTTTTTCTGATAAAACATGTTTTTCAACTAAAGATTATTTTTTGGGATTTAAGTGAACAAATGGATTTGTCAGTTAAAAATAGGAAGGAAGTTATTAAATGGAGATTAGAGTTTTGGGGAAGAGGAGGGAATTTTTTGAGAATTGTTAAATGTTGTAAAGATGGGGAAGCGTGATTTTGTGTATAGGGCAAGGAGGAATAACTCTTGAGGGTGGGGAAAGGGCCCGTTGGAGTGTGGGGGAATTCGTGGGCGGGGAGGTAAAATGAAAGGGGGAAAGGCAGCCGGGGTTTGATGGGATAAAGATAGAAATTTTTAAAAAGCAGGTGGGGTATAGTTTTGGAGTGGTTGGTGCAATTATTTAAAAAAATGTATGGAAGAGGGAAAGGGTACCTAGGGATTGAGAGAGCTGCTATTCCTTTGTATAAAGGAAAAGGGGAAAAAAAGAGATGAAAAAAATTATGGGGGGTTAATCTGTTGGATCCCGGGGTAAAGTGTATGGTAGAGTTATTTTTGAAAAAATTAAAAAGTAAAAAGGGAATAGGATACAGATGAAAAAGGGGGGCTTTGGGAAAAGGTAGGGGTGTTGGACCAGGTGTTTACAGTGAAAGTATAAGTGAACAGTTTTTTAATAGGCTAAAGAGGTCTTTGTGGTTTTTATGGTTTTGGGAAAAAAGGCTTATGACAGGGGGGGGGTGGGGGGCAATGTGGAGATGTTGCGGGTGTATGGTGTAGGAGGTAGGTTACTGAAAGCGTGAAGAGTTTTTTGAGGATATGGGGCTCAAGTTAGATACATAGGAAAAAAGGGAAATTTTTTCCCCAAAAAAGTAGGCCTTAGAAAAGGATGTGTATGCACCGTGTTGTTTAATTTTTTTTAAATAGATGGGGTTGAAAGAGAAGAAAATGCGAGGGTTTGAAAAGAGGCGTGGAGAAAAAAAATAAAGAAAACACATAAAGTGGGAGTTTTCACAGTTGCTTTTGCTGATGACCTGTGCTCTTGGGGGATTTGAGAGAAGTTGCAGGATTGGGGGATGAATTTGGGGGGAAACGGCCCGTGTGATAATAATAATAAAATATAAGGTTTGAGGATAACAAAAAAGGTGATGAAAAATTGGTATAATTGGAGGAGAGAGTATGGAGGGGGTGAATGTATTCAGATATTTTGGGGGTGGACGTGTAGGGATAGGTTATGAAGGGTGAGGGGAACATAGAATTGATGAGGGGAAAAAAGGGGGAGTGGTGCACTGGAGTCGTGGGACAAAGAACTTTTTCCTTGGAGGGAAAGAGGGGGTGTATGAGAGTTTTAGTTTTACCAAAACGTTTGGGGTGTGAATGGGTGAGAAAGTTCAGCGAGGAGAAGGCTGGAGGCAGTGGAATGTATGTCTGGGGCAATGTTGGTTTGAATTAATGCAGAGATTTGTAGTTTGGGAAATTAGGAGGAGGTGGGGATTACCAAAAACTGTTGTCCGAGGGCTGAGGAAGGGTTGTTGAGGGGTTTGGACAGTAGGAGTGGAGCGAAAACAGAATGCTTCAAAAAGTGAATCAGTCTGTAAAGTGGAAGGAAGGGGGGGGGTAGGGGGGCAGCCTGGAAAGGTTGGAGGGAGGGGGGAAAGGAGGTTTTGGTGGGGGGGTTGGGGTTCCCGCAGGCGTGCGTAGCATGTTTGATAGGGGGTGAATGGAACGAATGGTTTTTAATACTTTAGGCGCTGTTGGAGTGTGAGCAAAGTAACATTTATGAAGGGGTTCAGGGAAACCGGCAGGCCGGACTTGAGTCCTGGAGATGGGAAGTACAGTGCCTGCACTCTGAAGGAGGGGTGTTAATGTTGCAGTTTAAAAACTGTAGTGTAAAGCACCCTTCTGGCAAGACAGTGATGGAGTGAATGATGGTGAAAGTTTTTCTTTTTCGGGCCACCCTGCCTTGGTGGGAATCGGCCAGTGTGATAATAAAAAAAAAAAAAAAAAAGTGAATAACCAATGTAAGGCACGTCATCAATCAATCCATTCTCAAGCAAGAGAGGTGTATGTTCAAGTCTGAACATTTCTGTTTTTCCTTGGTTACCTCGATGCCAGATGAATCATGGTCTAATTTTTTTTTTCTAATTTGTTTATTTGTGGTTAAATATATGAATATGGTTTTATAGGTTTATGTAGCCTACCGTAATTAAATGAACCTAACTGAAAATAAGAAAACACAATTCAGAGGAAAAATAGAAAACATTTTAACAACTGAAGTTGAGCAAACATCAAAAACTGAAGTTATGAAATGAGAATGTGTTGCATAAATAATGCAGACAGACAACCAGTTGGTCTAAGTCTTCCTTGAAAGTCTTTCCTTAGAGAAACTAAAAAAGAGAACCTTCCTCCCACTTGTGTCTTCCCCTGTTGCTAAACTTCTTTCTAGCACCATTTGTTACACCATTTCTCCTCAATGCCCTTTCAATTAATAAAATTTTGTTTTATTTTTTTTCTTGCATTTTATTTCCTTCAATTTAAATCTTTTGAGATTTTACCAGAATTTTCCACAAGTGATAGCCAGATGACTTGTGACTGGTTATCACCTGTGGTTAAAAATACACATTTAAACAGTTTAATAATGAATGAGGGTTTAAAAACCCTTTCGGGGTCGAGAGGCCCTTCCTAAAACTTTTTCTCGGGGCCAAAAAATTTTTTGGGAAAAATTTTTTTTTTATAAAAAATTTGTTTAATATTTTCGTGTTTCAAAAATAAACCCCAAAAAAGGTTGGGGAAAATTTGGGAATTGGAAAACTTATGGAATTATGCTCTCGCGAACGAGGGGTCTCGATGATGTTTTTCCCATCGGCGTTTTAATTTCCCCCATTTTGAGCCCTTTTTTCGGCCAATTCCGTTTTACTAGTCGAAAAAAATCAAAACCCTATTTCGCTAGAACCCCCCTTTTTTTTTTCATCGAATGAGTACAAAAAAATCCCCCATTTACTGATTTCAACTATCCAAAAAAAGTGGTCAGAAATTGAAATTTTTGCTAATTTCGAAAAATTTTTTAAAAAGATCCCCAATTTCCAAATGGGGTTTCCAAATAAAAAAAAAAAAAGACATTTCTGCACTAAAAAAACCCAATTTCCCCTCTGTTCTTAGTCATGTCCCTCTTACATTTTTTTTGTTTTTCCACTTTGAATTTTTAATTCTCACAAAAAATAAAAGTTTTACTTTTTATGCAGACTACCCCATTAGTGAAAGAAAGGTATAAAAAATTTTCCGGCACTTATGATCGAATATAGACTCCCCCATTTATGTGTATTGGATGCGGGGGCATGATTTGTTTACTTTTGATCTTTGGCAAAAACCCCCCGGAAAACATTTTTGCTACTTTAAACTAATTTCAAAAGTACTTTTCTTGTGGCAAAACCCAAACCAAAAACACCTCAATTTCTGTAATAAAGTTTTTCCATTCTATAAAAATTTAGACCGGAAAACTAGAATACAACCAATTAAAAACCATAGAAAAATTTTCAGTGAAAATTTCTGTTTTAAAAACCAAAAACCCTTGGTTTCCCAAATTTTTTTTTCTCCCTTATGCACTGTGTGCAAATGATTTTTTTTTATACCCCCCGAACCACTGACCCCTTTGACCCTTTTTTCATTTGTGGCCTACCAGCTTTTTCTTGCTAGTTTGAAGGTTCTAAATTTAGGGGATTTCTAGTACTCAATAACCCTGGTGCGTAAACTGTACTAATATGTCAAAACCCTGAAAAGGGAACCCATTTAAAAAAAAATTTAAATTTTCCACCACTCATTTTACAAGGAAGTAACTCGTGCTGTCGCCAAATTTTTCCCCAACCTTTTTTTAACAATCCTTTTTGGAATCTTCAGCCTTCCATCCCTACTCAAATAGCAGGGGGTTTCCCCGATCCCCCAAAGGGGGCGATGCAACTGAACTGAATAACTATAGACCTATATCAAACATGCCCTTACTATCTAAAATCTTTGAGAAAATAATACACAAGTGTATTTACTCCTACCTCATTTCTCAGAGCATACTTAACCCCTGCCAGTTTGGGTTTAGGCTGAAAAGAAGTACAAATGATGTAATTATACAAATGCTCGAACTTTTGTATGAAGCACTAGAAAAAATGAATATCCTCTGGAGTTCTTCATGGACCTACAGAAAGCATTTGATACAGTGGACAACAGTCTCTTGCACAAATTAGAACCTTATGGGGTCAGAGGACACTCCCTCAAAATGTTTACACAAATGGCATCACCTCAACTACTCAACCTGTAGTTATTAGAGTGTCACAGGGTAGTGTTGTTGGCCTCCTACTTTTTCTCGTTTACATCAATGACTTCCCCAATGCATCTCAACTCCTTAAACCAGTTCTATTTGCAGATGACACTACTTATATTTGCTCTTACTCAAACCCAACTATGCTTAGAGACACTGTTAACCCTTTGACTGTTGCTGGCCCCTTTCTGAAACTGTCATTCTATGACGATAAATTTTTGGAAAAAAAAAAATTATTTTTTCTTGTGAAATGATAGAGAATCTTTTCCTGATGGTAATGACACCAAAAGTATGAAATTTGGTCGAAAACTCAAGGAATTACGCTCCCATGAAGTTAGCGGTCTCGGCGACATATACGTATCAGCGATTTTGCCGATTTTGAGCCCTGTTTTTAGCCAATTCTGTTGTTCTAGTTGACCAAACTCATAGCTATTTCTTTAGAACTCCATTTTATCTATCAGTTGAGTACAAGAAACTGCCCATTTACCAATATGAACTACCCAATAAAGTGGTCATAAATTGGCAATTTGGCCAATTTCACGTAAATTAAAAAAGATGTCAATTTCAAAATAGGGTCCAGAATAAACAATGTAGACATTCTTGGCACTAAAATAACATATCCTCTGTTCATTAGTCACGTCTCTAGGCCCCTCTTATATTACTATTGCTTTCTATTTTTATTTTTTATTCATACAAAAAAATTACAAAATTTACTGTTATGAAGACTACTGCATTATTGTAAAAATGGTATAAATAATATCAGTGCACTAGTGAAAGAATATTAGACTCCCCCGTTCACGTGTATTGGACATGTGGTGTGATTTGCTTACTCCTGAACATTGGTAAAAATCGAGCATTTCCACTAATTTGAGCTCAATTTCAAGGTCATTTTCATTGTGAAAGTAATCAAAATCATCTCTATTTCTGTAATATGTTTCCCATTTTATCACCTGAGACCATGAAAACGAGAATACAACGATAAATACTATACAAAAATACACCCCAAATTCGGCGTTTTAATTAAAAAAATTGACAGTTTTTTTTTCTCATTACGCATTGCGTGCTGCAGGATTTTTTTTATGTGGTGCACACTAACCACACAGACCCATTCTCTCACATGTGGGCCTACCAGCTTTCTCCCGCTTGATTTGAAGCCGCTAGAATTTATGCGTATTAATACGTCAGAAACAGTGGTGCGTAAGACGTATATATATGGCGTAAACAGTCAAAGGGTTAATGATGAGCTACTAAAAATATCTATGTGCGTGATGACCAACAAACTCACTCTCAACATAGACAAAACCTACTTCATGCAGTCTGGAAACAGAGCTTTAAATATCCAACTTAACATATTAATTAATGGTTCCCCCATTACAAGACATACTGAGGGCAAGTTTTTGGGTCCTCATCTTGACTGCAACCTTAAATTTCAGACCCACATCCAACATATATCAAAGAAAATATCCAAAACAGAAGGCATCCTTTCCAAGATACCATACTATGTGCCCAAACTGCACTACTTACACTATACCACTTACCTCACCTATGGTATCTGTAGGTGAGGTAACTTACCTCACCTACGGTATCTGTGATTGAGGATCAACCACAACCAATTGCCTTAAACTATTAATAACGTAACAAAAAGCTGCTGTGTGGATGATTACCAACTCCTGTGCCAGACAACACACCCCACCGCTCTTCAGGAGTTCAAGAGCCTGAATTTACTTAATATACAAAATATACACTCATATTATTGTGTCTACTATATATACAGAACATTAAACTCTTAATATAAACCCTCTTCTCAAACTTTTCCTTGATAGCTACAACAGAACACACAGGCATAACACAAGGCACAAAACACTCTTCAACATCCCTCGTGTCTGTCTCACACTAAGCAAAAGTGCAATGCACATAAAGGGGCCTAGGATCTAGAATTCATTGCCCGAACCAGTAAAAGGTCCTGTGCCTGCAAATCAATTTAGAGCTATACTTAAAAGTTATCTCTTCTCCCAAAATTAATCATACCAACACTATGCTAAATCATTCAACCAGTTTGAAAAGACTCAGAAATTACAAAATAATTTAAGACCGCTTAACCCTTTGGGGGTCGGCAGGTCCTCTCAGAGACTTGTTCTCAGGGTCGGCCAAATTAAAAAAAAAAAAAAAAAAAAAAAAATTTCATGACACCAAAAGTATGAAATTTGATGGAAAACTTACGGAATTATGCTTGCAAAGTTAGCGGTCTCAATGATGTTTACGCATTGGCGATTTTGTCCACTTTGAGCCCTATTTTCGGCCAATCCACTGTACTAGTCAACAAAAATCATAACTATTTAGCTAGAACTCCATTTTTTCTATCGAATGAATACAAGAAACCACCCATTTACCGATTTCAACTATCCAATAAAGTGGTCAGAATTTAGTAATTTTGCCAATTTCACACATTTCAAAAGATGCCAATTTCCGAATAGGGTCCAGAATAAACAAGGAAGACATTCCTGGCACTAAAATAACAAGTTCTCTGTTCGTTAGTCACATCCCCAGGCCCCTCTTATATTTCTTTGGCTTTCCACTTTGAATTTTTATTCTCACAAAAAAAAAAATTTACTGTTATGCAGACTACTGCATTAGTGTAGAAATGGTATAAATAATATCAGCGCACTTGTGAAAGAATATTAGACTCACTAGTTGATGTGTATTGGACGCTTGGCATGATTTGTTTACTTTTGAACTTTGGTAAAAATCGAACATTTCTGCTACTTTGAGCTCAATTTCAAGGTACTTTTCATTGTAAAACCAGTCAAAATCATCTCAATTTCTGTAATATGTCTTCCATTCTATAAAATGAGATCAAGAAAACTAGAATACAACAATAAATACCATACGAAAATACAGCGCAAAGTCGGTTTTAATCCAAAAACATGGTCAAAGTTTTTTTTTCTCATTATGCACTGTGTGCTGCAGAATTTTTTTTTATACTGCACACAGTGACCACATAGACCCATTCTTTCATATGTAGGCCTACCAGCTTTCTCTCACTAGATTTGAGGGCACTAGAATTTAGGCGTACTAGTACGTCAAAAACCCTGGGTCGTAAGCCGTACTAGTACGTCCGAAACCCTCAAAGGATTAATCAATTTAAAACATTATTCATACTTAAAAATGTACTGTTGTATCACTGTAAAATGTACTAATTGTAATACTGTTTTGTGCCACCTCACTACTATAAATCTTATTAATTACAAAATTTTTTGGTTTACCTAACTTTAGTAATAAGAGAAAATAATGAATAATTAAAATTTACCACTCTATAACCTATGTCTAGTCTTACGTAGTCTGTAAGCATTAGGATTAGTCATCCCGAAATGCCCTGGCATGTTAGTGGCTTTCTTTGTACTTTTTTTTCTCAACACACTGGCCATATCCCACAGAGGCAGGGTGACCAAAAAGTAAAATGAAAGTCTCTCTTTTTAAATTTTGTAATGTATAAAGGATAAGGGGTTACTAACCCCTTGCTCCCAGCATTTTAGTCGCCTCCTATGCCATGAATGAACTATGGAGGAAAAATTCTTTTCGACTTCCCCATGTAGTTTCTTTGTACTTAACAACACTTCATAAATTGTAGATCACACATTGTAACCTTTGCAAAAAAATAAAATCTGTATTTGTTGCATTTTTATCCACCTCAGCCCAGAAGGTCCACAGCAACCCTTTCCAGTGATGTCAGAATTATGATGCCCCAGCAATCAGAATTTAGGGAAACAAATGTCACAATGTTTGACTTTATTGGGCTATCCTATAGCAAATCTAAATATGTAATGTACAGTCTGTGTGTGCTTTTTTTCATGGGCCTGTAACATGTGTGCATGCTCAAGACTTTTGCAAAAATTTGTTTTAATATTTTTGATGAAAAAAGAATTCAGAAAATGTGCTTGGCTTTTTTGGAGGTGTCAGGAACATTGCCCAATTTTCTTATAAGTTCTTCACTCCACATATTGCATTATCACATATAGCTCTCACTTCTGGAATATAACCCATGCAAAAATTTAACTATATATCATCACTATACAATGCCTGAAATTATTAAGCCAGTTTGGAACTACTCAAGAAATCCCAATTAACCCATTGACTGTCGCAACCCCAAATCCTGAGTTGTCTCCTAGTGTCGCAAAATATTTGGAAAAAAAAAAAAAAAAAAAAAAAAAAAAAAATCTTGTGAAATGATAGAGAATCTTTTCCCAATGATAATGACACCAAAAGTATGAAATTTGATGGAAAACTTATGGGATTACACTCTAGCAAAGTTAGCGACCTCAGCAATACGTATTTACGAATCGGCGATTACACCCACTTTGAGCCCTATTTTTGGCTAATTCCATTGTTCCAGTTGACAAAACTCATAACTACTTCTTTAGAACTCCATTTGTTCTATCGAATGAGTACAAGAGACTGCCCATTTACTGATTCATCTACCCAATAAAGTGGTCAGAAATTGGCAATTTGGCCAATTTCACACAAATTAAAAAAATATGCCAGTTTCAAAACAGAGTCCAGAATGAAGAATGCAGACATTCCTGGCTCTAAAATAACATTTTCTTTGTTCATCAGTCACATCTCCAGGCCCCTCTGGTGTTACTCTTGCTTTTTATTTTGAATTTTTATTCAAAAAAAAAAAAATAGAAGATTTACTGTTATGTAGACTACTGCAATATTGTAATAATTGTATAAATGATGTCAACCCATTCATGACTGCATATTAGAATGGCTAGTTGGACATTTATTGGACAATGACATCATTTGTTTACTCTTGAACATCGGCAAAAATCAAACATTTCCCCTAATTTTAGCTCCATTTCGAGGTCCTTTTCATAACAATCAAAATCACCTCTATTTCTATAATATGTTTTCCATTCTATCAAATGTTGCTACAAAAACGAGAATATAACCATAAAAACTATACGAAAATACACCTCAAATTCTGTGTTTTAATCCAAAACACGGTCGGAGTTTTTTTTTCTCATTATGCACTGCGTGCTGCAGGATTTTTTTTATACAGTGCACACTGACCACACAGACCCATTCTCTCACATGTGGGCCTACCAGCTTTCTCCTGCTTGATTTGAAGCCGCTAGAATTTTTGAGTATATATACGTCAAACACATTGGCTCGTAAGACGTATATATACGACCGAAACAGTCAGAGGGTTAAGACTACTAAATCAATTTAAAATATTAATACACACTTAAAATTGTAATGTTATAATATTGTAAACTGTACTAATGTAATACTTTTGTTTGTTTATTTTGCTACCTCTCTACTATAACTCATTATATAATTATAAAATTTTTGGCTGCCTCTCTTTTGTAATAATGTAAAATAATGAATAATTAAAATTGACCACTCTATAATCTATATTTAGTTTTAAGTAGTCTGTAAGCATGACAATTAGTCTGAATTATAACAAGTAAATCACACATTGTATACTATGCAAGAAATAAAAAATTTGCATTTAAATCTGAACATGTGGTAGTCCACTGTACTCTATTTTAACACGGGTCTATAGGAAAATACATTTCACTTAGTCAGTCATTCTTGCTGTCACTTCTCTCTTGAATTTGATTGTTGCTAAATGAAGAATTACTATATGATATACAATGTATAACTTACAGTAAGCAACAATCATTTCATGATACAAAGTGCCTGATGCAATAGTAAATACTTACTTATCTGGTATAAGACCAGCAGAAGCCTGTAAGAAAGATTCCTCCAGCAGTTCTGTTTTCTCACAGTTCAAGTGGATTGTGCAGCGGTGATGAGGCATTACTGAATTATCCCTATTATTGGGGTTAGCCTTAAAGTTTGGCAAAGATTTCAGAGCAACTGAAGAAAAAGAAGAAATAACACTTACAAAATTGGACGGATAATATTTATTAACTTAATAAAACTCTATTAGTTTTATCAATTAACTGCCTTTTGCATTAAAGCAAAAGATTACTAGACAGTTATACTAACTGCTAAAATACTGTATTAAAATAATAATTATACTGTTCTAAATATTGCACCTGTTTTCAGACACTAAATGTAACACTGCTCAATTTTAAAAACAGAATTACAGTATAGTACTGTAAGTGTTACGATAGTAGCACTAATTGTGACATTTTTGAAGCACTCTGTGCATGTCACAAAATAGTCACAGGCAAAAAAAATAAACAATAAAAGCAGGCATAAAATCAACAATAGGAGCAAGAGGCTAGTAACCCCTTCTCCTGTATAAATTACTAAATTTAAAAAGAGAAATTTTTGTTTTTCTTTTTGGGCCACCCTGCCTCGGTGAGATATGGCCGGTTTGTTGAAAAAAATCAACAAACAAAAACAACAAACACTCATAATAAATAAATACTATCATTCCATGTATATGTAATGGCCATCACATTTAGCATCAATATTTCTGAGGGTAAGGTACCTAGGGATTGGCAGAGAGCATGCATAGTTCCTTTGTATAAAGGCAAAGGGGATAAAAGAGAGTGCAAAAATTATAGGGGGATAAGTCTGCTGAGTATACTGGTAAAGTGTAGGTAGAGTTATTATTGAAAGAATTAAGAGTAAGACGGAGAATAGGATAGCAGATGAACAAGGAGGCTTTAGGAAAGGTAGGGGGTGTGTGGACCAGGTGTGTACAGTGAAACATATAAGTGAACAGTATTTAGATAAGGCTAAAAGAGGCCCTTTGTGGATTTAAGGATTTGGAAAAGGCGTATGACAGGGTGGATAGGGGGCAATGTGGCAGATGTTGCAAGTGAAATGGTGTAGGAGGTAGGTTACTGAAAGCAGTGAAGAGTTTTTACGAGGATAGTGGGGGCTCAAGTTAGGGGTATGTAGGAAAGAGGGAAAATTATTTCCCAGTAAAAGTAGGCCTTAGACAAGGATGTGTGATGTCACCGTGGTTGTTTTAAAATATTTATAGATGGGGTTGTAAGAGAAGTAAATGGCGAGGGTCTTGACAAGAGGCGTGGGGTTAAAAGATAAAGAATCACACACAAAGTGGGAGTTGTCACAGCTTTCTCTTTGCTGATGGGCACTGTGCTCTTGGGAGATTCTGAGAGAAGTTGCAGAGATTGGTGGATGAATTTGGTAGGGTGTGCAAAAGAAGAAAAATTAAAGGTGAATACAGAAAAGATAAGGTTATGAGGATAACAAAAAGATTAGGTTGATGAAAGATTGAATATTTAGATTGGAAGGGGGAGATTATGGAGGAGGTGAATGTATTCAGATATTTGGGAGTGGACGTGTCAGCGGGTGGGTCTATGAAAGATGAGGTGAATCATAAAATTGATGAGGGAAAAAAGTGAGTGGTGCACTTAGGAGGTCTGTGGGACAAAGAACTTTGTCCTTGGAGGCAAAGAGGGGAATGTATGAGAGTATTGTTTTACCAACGCTCTCATATGGGGTTTTGAAGCATGGGTGATGAATGTGCAGCGAGGAGAAGGCTGGAGGCAGTGGAGATGTCATGTCTGAGGGCAAAGTGTGGTGTGAATATAATGCAGAGAATTTGTAGTTTGGAAGTTAGGAGGAGGTGCGGGATTTCCAAAAAATGTTGTCCAGAGGGCTGAGGAAGGGTTGTTGAGGTGGTTCGGACATGTAGAGAGAATGGAGCGGGAAACAGAATGACTTCAAGAGTGTATCAGTCTGTAGTGGAAGGAAGGCGGGGTAGGGGTCGGCCTAGGAAAGGCTGGGGGAGAGGGGTAAAGGAGTTTTGTTTTGCGAGGGCTTGGACTTCCAGCAGGTATGCATGAGCGTTTTGATAGGAGTGAATGGAGACAAATGGTTTTTAATACTTGACGTGCTGTTGGAGTGTGAGCAAAGTAACATTTATGAAGGGGTTCAGGGAAACCGGCAGGCCGGACTTGAGTCCTGGAGATGGGAAGTACAGTGCCTGCACTCTGAAGGAGGGGTGTTAATGTTGCAGTTTAAAAACTGTAGTGTAAAGCACCCTTCTGGCAAGACAGTGATGGAGTGAATGATGGTGAAAGTTTTTCTTTTTCGGGCCACCCTGCCTTGGTGGGAATCGGCCAGTGTGATAATAAATAAAAAAATAATTTCTGAGGAACTGTTAGATGTTAATGAATAAAGGAAGGCAGTAATTTCATGCACTGGGCAGTAAGGGGTAAGGTACACTCGGATGTGAGAGAATGGCATAAAGCAGTTAGTAAATTTAAGGAAGGCAAAGAAAATGGAATAGACAAGATTAAAAGAGTTAAGAACAGGTGGGGATATACAGTAGTTTTGGGGTGGTGGGAAATGTGTTCAACAAAAGAAGGGAAAAAAAGAAAGGTTTCCTAAGGATTTGCAGGGGAGCATGGATAAATGATTTCTTTATGAAAAGGGGCAAAAAGTGTGTATAAGAATTTTAGGGAAATTAAAATCTGAAATACTGGGTAAAATGTGTGGGTTTGAATTTGGTATTGAAAGGGGCTATTTGGGAAGATTAAAAAAAAAGATTGCAGAGGAAACCCGGAAAGGGTTTAGGGAAAGGGTTTTTGATTAAATTTTTCAAAAACTTTAGAGTTTAAGCATTTAAGTTAAAAATCATTTAGATAACAGATAAGGAACAGTTTATTGCACTTATGGATTTAGAAAAGATATAGGATAGGTTGGATACGGATGCAATGTGGCAGATGTTACAAATGTATGGAATAGGTGGTAAGTTATTATAAGCAATAAAGTGTTTTTATGTAGAGTGAGGCTCAGGTTAGGGTATTTAGGAGAGAGAGGACATTCTTCCCAGAAAAAGTAAACCTTGCACAGGGATGTGTGATGTCACCATTGTTGTTAATCATATTTACAGATGGGGTTTTAAAAGAAGTGAATGTTAGGGCATTGGGGAGAGGTGTGAGATTAAAGAAAGAAAATCAGTACAGAGTGGAAGTTGACAAAGTTTCTCTTTACTGGGAGATTCTGAAGGCAAGTTTCAAAGACTGGTAGAGAATGTAAAAGAAGGAAGTCATAAGTGAACATAAAAAAGAACAATGTGATGAGCATAACAAAAAATCCAGGCAGTGAAGGACTAGTTGTCAGAATGGAGGGAGAAAGTATGGAGGAAATGAATATATTCAGAGATTTGGGAGTAAACATGTTGAGAGATGGACCTATGAAAGATGAGGTGAACCACAAAATAGATGAGAGGAGGATAATGTAGATGGTGTGTTGAGGCATTTCAGACAAGTTTATCAATGAAGGCAATAGGGTAATGTACCAGAATATAGTTGTACTAGAGATGCCATGTCTGAGAGCAATGTACTGTTTACAAACATAATGCAAAGAATTCAGAGATGGAAATTAGAAGCGTGGAGTTACCAAAAATATAATTCATAAGGGCTGAAGAGGTTGTTAGGCATTTAGAGAGAATGAAGCAGAATAGGAAGATGAAGAGGATCTATAAAACTGAGGTAGAAGGGTAGACGGTCATCCCAGGAACAGCTGCAAGGAGGCCGTAAAGGAAGGTTTAAATGCTAGGGGCTTGAATATTAAACAGGCCTGTGTGAACGTTGAGTGAAGATGATTGAGTGAAGATGACTGAGTTCTAAAGCAACTGACTTTACACTTACATACCTTTGGGTGATTAACACATTCTGAGTTCTGTCTCTTCCTAAGTACATAAGCCACAGCCAGTGGGTGTACTCATTCTTGTCCTCTCTCTTATTATATTACCCATGGTATGGTAACTACAAGTTAAGTGAGTAGTGTGTAAATACTGGATGTATTTGTTTCTGATATTCGTGGTATGAATATACAGGTATGTACTTAATAAAGAACTTTTGGTGTTAGCCTTTACCTTTAATATTCCTTGACAGATTCTTTGTTTATGGTCAGGTACCACAGGTATTCTAAGTGTACCTGCATTTGTAATACCCATCTCAAGTGAGTAGACTATTTTAAATTTCATTGTTAAAACAAATAAATCAAAATAGATACTGAATATCATTATAGGGAATGCAACTCCAATTACAGAATGAGCATACACACACACACACACACAAAAAAATGTTCCAAGTTTTGAACGATGTTCAGAAATACAATGGGGATCCCCTGCATCTCACTTTTATATCATGCTTCTAGGGTAGGTACTGTATCTCCAAATCAATGACGTTGCCCTCTTTGATTTGTTCCTACTGGATGACTGCTTTCTCACTAGGCACTCCTTCCTGTAAGCTCACTTTAGTTTATTCATTATGTAAAATCACCAGACACAGGTCTTTATCATGAGATGACCCACTAATAGTGGTGTGATCCTCATTGCGGGACACAACAAAATAATAGTGGCTAAGATGAGGTAGCCACTGGCCTTATGATGGGCCTCTTGTGCCATGATTACTAACTCACCAGTGCTGGACACGGTAGTCTCAGTTGGTGTTCTCTCTAGTCTTATATACAGTCTCTCCTTTCCCAGAAAGAAGACAAAGACAAAGATGAAAAACAAGTAGTGGTGTTAGCAGTTGAATTAGCAGCAGCAGCAGCAGCAGCAGTTAGTAGTAGCAGTAGTACTGAGTTGAGATACCATATTACATCTCTAGGGGATGAATTAGTTAGAAATGTCTTCCCCCTACTCTAACACATATCCTTCAAAGGCACACACATGCACTGTACTTACAGGTCATAAATAACACAACAGCATAAGAAAGTTTTGCCATCATTTACCACCTGCATAACCATAAAAATGTATTGGAAAAATATGCAAATAAAGATTAAAAAAAAAAAGTTCAATGCTAAAACAACCTAGAATGTTACTCTCATCACACATTTAATGTAATTACAATTACTTCAGTCAGCTCTAACATATGATTACAAAAGTAGCAAAGCATACACAACTATCTTACCATTAATTTTACAAACAGGAGATCTGTAGTCAATACTTTTAATAGATGCTTCAAATTCTGGAGGTAATGAGCCCTTTGGTAGGAGTCTCAGAAAAGTTGTGTGTGCTGTTGCATTTGAAAGAACTGTCTTGGCATAAAGTTGAGAGCCATCCTCTGTCTCTACACCAACCACTTCATTCTTCTTGCCAAGCAGAATAGTTTTTACTTGCTGAAATATTTTGTATTATTAAGTTATAACTTAAAATAATACAAAATATAAATATAATACTGCATTTATTAATGAATATTTGTGTAAGTTTTTTCAGTCTATGGTATTCTGAACCTTTAAACTGTGGGCAACCCCCAAATTTAAAGCCCTTTTTGTACTGGTATTTAAAAACAATTCCTAAAGATAATGACATCAAACATGTACAACTTGATGTAATCCTCATACAATTATGCAGGCATGAAGTTGGAGTTCACGAGCACTTTATGCAACATTGATTTTGCACACTTTGAGGCCTTGTTTGAGGTCAAGTGGTGCTCAAAATGGCCCATTTCCTGGCTATTTCACCAGTATCCCTGCTATTTCTTTAAAAAACTCCCATTTTTCATCTTTTAAACAAAATTAAAATTTTGTTTAATTCCCTATTTTGGTCAAAACAATTTCCAATTTTAAACAAAAATTAAAAAATTGACAATTTTTAAAAAAATATAGGTCCAGAACTAAGCAACTTCCCTCGGGTAAAATAACCCTTTGACTGTCAGCAACCCCCCCTAAATTTCCCCTTTTTCCCATTTTTAATTTTTTTTCAAAAAAATAGAAAAATTTTTCCCTTTTTAAATTGGACACCAAATGTAATAATGTAAATAATTAATGTCCCAAAATTTCATGACTGGCAATTAAATGGCATTCCCATTAGTTTTGGAACATTTTATTGACAAACATCATTTTTTACTTTTTTGAACTTGGCAAAAAACCCCCAAAAAATTTTACCCAAAAATTGGTCAAATTTTCCATTTTGGGTTATTTAAAAAATAAAAAATATACTTTCAAAATTTTTGGGTTTTAGATTCCAAAAATGAGACCGGCCCCAAAAATAAAATTTCTAATCATAGTTAGGCCCCCATAATTCCCCCCATTTTAATTAAAAAAAAATGGTTTCGGAGTTTTTTTTTGTAAAATTATGCCCCCTTCATGCTGCAATTAATTATTGGACACTGACACAAGACCCTTTTTTCTTACATTGGAACCTCCAAACTTTTCCCCTACTTGATTTTCCATTTTTTTTTGTAAAATTAAACCCCCCCCAAAAATTTTTCGATTCTATCAATGAGCCCAATTGAGTTAAAAAAATTTATGTAAGTGGGGTTTTAATTAAAATTTGGGGAGTTTTTTTCTGAAATGGCAATCGTCTGACAAATTTTTTTATGGGCAATCACAAATTCTCATACTGGCCACGCTTTCATCCTTTTTGGATGAAAAAAATTTACCGGGGGTTATATAATCGTCAACACGGTACCTCGTAAGACGTTATATATACGGCCGGGGACGTCAAGGGTTAATTACATCTCCAGGCCTCTCTTTTTATACAGGAATTCACTGTCACACACAAAAAAAAATAAAAAAAAAATTTCCTAACTAAGAATGCTTGGTCATGGTTTAAGCAGCCTCAATAACTGAAGCAGATCTAGTACAAATATATAAAACAGACCAGAAAGTAGGAAGAGCATATACCCTTTCCAGAATAATCACTCAAAATTGACCATTTCTTGCCAATTTGATGCCTATTTCAGGCCACTTCCTGTCTTAAACTAACCATCATCTCCTCCATTTCACTAGTATGTCTTTCAATGTATTTATTGGCACACATTACACCATAGCACATGTGTAATAAACTCAAGTTAGTGGTGCATATGAAAAACTGCATAAAAGATTTTTCTTCTGTTTTATTTTCTTCATGAGGGTTTGTGTTAAGCTAGATCATGTGTAGTTATTTTTTTTTTTGTAGGCTTTTACTGTCTAAGCCAATTTCTTGGAAGGTTTCCAGAGCCAACAAGAAATCAAGCAAATAATCTGATTACATCACTATATCACCTCCTCATTGAATATGATTTTAATTTGAATTTGAATTTGAATTTTAATGCAGTACTGCTTCAACTACTTACCTTATCAGTGAAGAGCTGTGCCCCTGCTTTAGTAGCTGCCCGAGCCATAGCCTGAGTGACTCCTCCCATTCCTCCTTCTGGATAACCCCAAGAGCCTCGCACTCCAGACAACTGAGCCATCACATGATGAAGTAACACATACCTAATACAGTTTATTTAAATTAACAGAAATATAACCAGTTTTACATATTGTGTGAGAGAGCGTTATATATACAGATTGATGATCAATGAATGATGGTAAATGTTTTTTCGTCTTCTCTGGTTACCCTACCATGGTGGGAGATGTCCAATGAGATAAAAAAAATAATAACACAAAAATATGGGAGACAGAGAGCTCAAATTCAATACTGAAAATGATAAGCAATAAACACAAAATGTATCATATTTAACCCGTAAACGGTCCAAACGTATATATATGTTTTTTCAACATTTGAAAGTATGTAAAAAAAGTAGATCTTCTTTTTGTTTTTTTTACATCTGAAAATATGTAAAAAAAACGTAGATCTACTTTTGTAGCACTACACATGTGAACGTAGATCTGCTTGGACCGTTTATGGGTTAAAGCAATCTGCTAGTAATATACAAATTAATTATAAAATTACTAGTACATCAATACAAAATTGTTCATTTCCAACAATCCTACAATATGGGTACAAAACTTAAAAATTAGCAAAAACACAGCATAATTCCAAAATAAATGTAGATATTATAAAAGTGATAAATGTAGATATTTTTAAAATACCGCCCAAAAAAGTATATAAAATGAACTTAAATCACAGAAATGTGATTTAAGTTGATTTTAGATACTTAGCCAGGATTGCAAATTCTAAGAAAATTGTCCACGAAAAACCCTAATACAGTGGACCCCCGGTTTATGATCAGCTCCCAATGCGACCAATTATGTAAGTGTATTTATGTAAGTGCATTTGTATGTGTATGTTTGGGGGTTTGAAATGGACTAACCTAATTCACAATATTCCTTATGGGAACAAATTCGGTCAGTACTGGCACCTGAACAACTTCTGGAATGAAATAATATCGTAAACCGGGGGTCCACTGTACTATACCAACTTTTTTGTTTTAACACGTCGGCCGTTTCCCACCAAGGCAGGGTGACCCAAAAAGAAAGTAAAACCCCAAAAGAAAGAAAAAACTTTCATCATCATTCAACACTTTCACCATTGCTCATACATAATCACTGTCTTTGCAGAGGCGCTCAGATACAACAGTTTAGAAGTCCCTCCAAACTGCCAGTATACCAAACCCCTCCTTTAAAATGCAGGCATTGTACTTCCCATTTCCAGGACTCAAGTCCAGCTGACTCCCTTCACAAAATATTACCCTGCTCACACTCACAGCATATATCAAATTTGTGCAAAACATTACTTTTGTCACAAAAATACCAGTATGGTTTGTTCTTAAAAGTGGCCACAAGTGTCTACACCCATCAACACCAACATGTACAGTATAGCAATATTAATTATTAATACACTTGTTTAGGTTGGAAGATACTTTACTCAGGTATAAGTTACTAATTAGTACCCAATAATATGCAGACTTTAACAAGACATCTCATAAAAGACAAAATACAGTAAACCAAGTGAGAGAGTAACTGTGGTGAAGGACCTATATGCTAAAGCAGGAGCAATTGTTGCAGAGGGCACAGTAAGCGAGTAGTAAATGATAATGTGGGGGGGATGGCTTTGACTGAACTTAGTATAGAAAAAGGTTTGGTAATAGGTAATACATATCTTAAGAAACAAGAGGATAAATAAGTGTGAGAGATATGATATAGAATATAATGACAATAGCTTGTTGGACAATGGATAAAAGTTTGATGGGTAGACTTCTGGATATGCATGTTTATAGAGGGGCAAGAAATATACCAGATCATTATTTAGTTATAGTTACAGTGAGAGTAAGAGGTAGGTGGAGGGTACAAGGAGAATCACATCAGTGAGTAAGAGAGAGGTGAAAGTGTATAAACTAAAGTAGGAGGTAGTTATTCAAATTCAAATTCAAATTCAAAGTTTATTCTCTATAAAGATTACAATGTTGAATTTACAGAATATGGTTGTTGTGTGGTTTACATGTAGTTAAATAATGATTACAGAGTGTACCACTAGAACGCCTAGCATGGCTAGGCATTTCGGGCAGACTTAGTTTAATTCTTTATTTTAAAATATTACAAATTATGAGGTAAGTTGGTATTATGGCTAAGTGACTAAATACTAGTTTGTGAGTTTAGCAATGTGAATGCGTTTGTTTTGGCAGAGTACATAGTTTCAGTATTGGAGTATCATAGGAATCATTATTTTAAGATTGAGATTAATATTTCTGTTTATGGTCAAATGGGTGAGTGAGTGTAAGTGTGAACCACCAGGTGGTATTCGTGTAGTTAGTTGATGGGGTTTATCAGGGAGATAAGATGTTTTCTAATGGTAGTTTTGAAGGTGATGAATGTGTCTGCAGTTCTAGAGTTCTCAGGTAGGGTGTTCCAGATTTTAGGGCCTTTGACATACATTGAATTTTTGTAAAGGTTTAGTCGGACATGGGGAATGTCGTAGAGATGTTTGTGTCTGGTGTTATGCCTGTGGGTTAGTTGACGGGGTGTATCAGGGAGATAAGATGTTTTCTAATGGTAGTTTTGAAGGTGATGAATGTGTCTGCAGTTCTAGAGTTTTCATGTAGGGTGTTCCAGATTTTAGGGCCTTTGACACACACTGAATTTTTGTAAAGGTTTAGTCGGACACAGGGAATGTCGTAGAGATGTTTGTGTCTGGTGTTATGCTTGTGGGTCCTGTCACAACTATCAAGAAAGCATTTTAGGTCAAAGTTAATACTGGAATTTAAGGTCCTGTATATGTAGATTGCACAGTATTAAGTGTGGATGTTCTGAACAGGGAGTAAGTTTAGATCTATGAAGAGTGGGGGGGGGGGGGGTTGTTGCCAGGGATGGGATTTAGTGATTATTCTTACTGCAGCTTTTTGTTGAGTTATTATTGGCTTTAGGTGTATTGCTGCAGTTGATCCCCAAGCACAAATAGCATAGGTGAGGTATGGATAAATGAGTGAATGGTATAGTGTGAGAAGGGCATTTTGCGGCACATAGTATCGTATCTTGGAGAGGATTCCAACTGTTTTGGATACTTTTTTAGATATGTGTTGGATATGGGTGCTGAAATTCGGGTTGTTGTCGAGGTATAGGCCTAGGAATTTGCCCTCATTACGTCTGGCAATTAGAGTGCTGTCGATCTTAATGTTTAGTTGTGCAGCACCTGCTCTACTACCAAACATAATATAGTAGGTTTTGTCAGTGTTAAGTGTAAGTTTATTGGTTGGCATCCAAGTTGATATTTTGAGCAGCTCCTCATTAACAATGGTGTTGAGGGTGGCAAGATTAGGGTAAGAGATGACATAAGTCATGTCGTCAGCAAAGAGAATGGGTTTCAGGTGTTGGGATACGTTTGGAAGATCATTGATGTAAATGAGGAAGAGCAGGGGTCCAAGGACACTTCCCTGCGGAACTCCAGTATCAAGTGGCCGTGTGATGTGCTGGTTCTTTAATGGTGACATACTGATTACTATTAGTAAGGTAGGATTTGAAATATGCAAGTGCATGGCCTCTTATACCATAATGGTCAAGTTTGTGGAGTAGGATGCTGTGGTCTACTGTGTCAAAAGCTTTTCTTAGGTCAATAAAAATTCCTAGCGGATATTCCTTATTTTCCAATGCTGTGTAAAGCAGATCTAGCATTTTTACAATTGCATCATTAGTGCTTTTATTTTTCCTGAATCCAAATTGGCAGGGGTTGTGTATGTTTTGTGCCGTTATAAATGAATACAGTCTCCTGTGCACGAGTTTCTCGAAGATTTTGGATAGCAATGGTAAGTTTGATATTGGCCTATAGTTGTTTACATCTGTAGGGTCACCACCTTTATGTATTGGTGTAACTCTTGCTGTCTTGAGTAGTTTCGGGAAGGTGCTGTTTCTAGTGACTTGTTAAAATGTAATGAAATAGCATGCGAAAGGACATGGGCCGCTCGCTTGTACAATAATGGTGGGACATGAGACAGGTTCCCTGAGTTATTTTTAATTGACTTTATAATCTCAGTGACTTCGGTGGGCTCAGTTTGTACAAGATAGAAGGAATTTGGGAAATTCCCATCTAGATAGTCCCCGCCATGGGCGTTGATACAAAGGAAATCAAAAGTGAACATAGGAAAGAGCAAGGTGATGAGGGTAACAAACAAGTTAGGTAATGAAAGACTGGATATCAGATTGGAAGGAGGGAGTATTGAGGAAGTGAATGTGTTTAGATATTTGGAAGTAGATTTGTTGGTGTTTGATATCAAAGACGAGGTGATCCATAGAATTACTGAAAGGAAAAAAGGCAAGTGGTGAATTGAGACATCTGTGGAGATAGAGACTGTTATCCATGGATTCAAAGAGGGGAATGTGTGGGAGTATAATGGTACCAACACTCTGACATGGGTGTGAAGCATAGGATGTGAATGTTGCAGTGAGGAGGCTGAAGGCGGTGAAGACATCATGTCTGAGGGCAATATGCAGTGTGAATATTTTGCAGAGAATTCATAGCCTGGGGACTAGGAGATGCGGGGTTATTAAAGGTATTATTCAGAGGGCTGAAGAGGGGTTCTTGAGGTGGTTCAGACATTTAGAGATTATGGAACAAAATAGGATAATTGGAAGGCATATAAATCTGTAGTGGAAGGAAGGCGGGGTAGGGGTCATCCTAGGAAAGGTGGGGGGGAGGGGATAAAGGAGGTTTTGTGAGTGAAGGGCTTAGACATCAAATGTGTGTGAGCACGTTAGCCATGAGTGAATGGAGGCAAGTGGTTTTTATGACTTGATGTGCTGTTGGAGTGTGAGCAAGGCAGCATATATGGAGTGATTAAGGAAAACTGATTAGCTGGATTTGAGTCCTGGAAGTGGGAAGTGCAATGCCTGTACTCTGAAAAAGGGGTGTAGACATCTGCAATTTTGAACTGTAGTACTGGCACCCCTCTGGCAAGACAATGATGAAATGTGTGGTAGTAAAGTTTTTCTTCTTTTTTGGGTCACACCGCCTCAGTGGGAGATGGCTGATTAGTTGAAAAAAAAAATTATTATATAAGAACTGGAGAATTTTAACCTATTTATGCCATACTGTATTTTCCTGGGGCATATTCAATAACTGGAGAGAATCTGGCAATCCTCAAAAATGCTGGGTTCTAACACGGGATGATATCAGTTTCTTAAAACCAGCCATTACACAGGTGGTGAAGATTCTGACAGCTTCAAACAGTATTCATACATTCTTTATATGAGCCAATTGTCATTGTGTTTTAGACATCATAGATAAAAAAGCTGTTGGTTGTCACTGATGTTTTTCTTGTAACAGATGTCTAACAAGACAGTGCACATAAAACAGGAAGCAATTTCACATTAAACCATAAATAGGAAGCCGGCAGGGCACAAAAGAGTAGTTTAAAATGCACATGAAAAAGCTCACTAGAAAAAGAAAGAACCTTTCATAAGCAAAGGACTCTGTGTTCACAAAGAGGCCACTAAGATGCAGCAGCTGTTAGATAAATATCTTTTTCAGAGTTTTCTGTTTAAATGAAGCTTTATTTTCTTACCCACTTCCAGGGGTGCTTGGGCTCATCATGGACCCAATGACACTATCTGTGGCTAATGTAGCTTTCAGTGGCTCCGACTCCAACCACTGGTCTAGGATCTTCGATGCTGGTGCAGTCATCAGCTCATAAAATTTAGGAAAATCCTTCCCCACAATTGAGACTACAGAACAAAAAAATAAGCAAAGTAGTACAGTAAGGCCCCGCTTTACGGCGTTTCGCCTTACGGCGTTCCGCTAATACGGCGATGTCAAATTATGACCAAAATTTGTTATACGGCAAGCTGTCTTTCAAATACGGCGCCCCCCACCCGGTTTGTTTACATTTTCCGTGACCACATCTATTATGTCAGGAAACTTTCCAAAATTTCAAGTTACTGCATATTTTATATGTACTCTGATAATTATACTTATGTGTACCTGTACCTAAATAGGTCTCTAGGCATCATGATGGTAATGCTGGTGCAGTGGTAAGGATGAATGGGAGGGTGTTGGCACCTGGAGAAGAAGTTGATATCCTTGGGGTGAAATTTGACTCCAAACTGACCATGAAGAACCATGTTCTAAATCTAGCAAACAAGGCAGCCAGGAAGCTTACAGCACTTCGCTGTATCTCACATCTGCTTGACAGTAGGGGTGCAAGATTCTTTACGAGGCACAAGTATGCTCACACCTTGAGTATGCTCCACTTTCTTGGTTTGCCTGCCCCCCTCTCATCTGCGACTGCTTGACAGAGTAGAGAACAGAGCAAGATGTCTCATCTCTCGCCTGGACCAATCCTGGATAGATCTGTCATTTCAGCAGAGCCTTCAACACAGGAGGGATGTGGGTGCCTTACTGTTATTTACAAGGCCAATATTGTCAAAGTACCACACTTGGATCTACTTCGAAGACAGCATGAAACAAGCTTTTATGCCACAAGATGGGCAGAAAGCAGCAACTTCACTCTGGCTGTACCCTTCTCCAGAACATCACTCCATCTGAGATCATATATACCCAGGATGACTCGAGCATGGAACACATTCGTACAGCATTATGATGTCAATGAGATAAAGTCAGTTGATCAAATGAAAATGCTGGCCCACAGATGGCTCCAACTTCATCCTGTTCTTTACTTGTACATCTCATAACAATAAAAATGCTTTCAAATGAGCTGATGTAGGTATAGCTTGCCAATAAAGTTAGGAATCCTTAACCTGTAAATAGCATATCAATAAAGCTAGGGATCCTTAACCTTGTCAAACCCTGTGTAAAAAAAAAGAGGGGGGGGGGGGTACTACAGTACTCTATTTTCAACTCTCATTTTTATTTACAGTATAGTACTGTAATATTTTCAAGGTTGCAATATTCTTAGTGTCTGGAAGTTTCCAGAACCAATGGACACAGTCTGCTGCTTCTGGCCTTCATCTATTACCTTAGATGTTTAGTAATCTCAGACGAATTCACTGAGTCCAGATGCCAAAAATGTGATTGACTGGAAGGTTACTCATACGCACAAAAAGTTGTATAATCAAATTCTATAAATTAGGAACTATGCAAGTTTGGAAAACTCTCTGTGTAGTAATATTATGAATAAAGAACAAGCTGCTTCTGAGCAGACAAGGAAGTATATAAACACAAGATGCCCATTGAGGCATAATTGCAAGGAATGATTTACAGGAGGTAGAATGTGCCACAACTGTTCTTTCTTTCTTTCAACACACTGGCCGTATCCCACCGAAGCAGGGTGGCTCAAAAAAAAAAAAAAGTTTCTCTATATAAATTTAGTAATGTATACAGGAGAAGGGGTTACTAGCCCCTTGCTCCCAACATTTTAGTCGCCTCTTACGACACGCATGGCTTACGGAGGAAGAATTCTGTTCCACTTCCCCATGGAAAGCCACAGCTCTTATTAACAGTAAAAGTTTTATAAGACTAAATACTGAAGACAACATGATGCTAATTTTGCTCCTATAATTACAAAACTTTGACAGACTAAATACTGAATAAGATAAGATAAGATAAGATTTCGTTCGGATTTTTAACCCCGGAGGGTTAGCCACCCAGGATAACCCAAGAAAGTCAGTGCGTCATCGAGGACTGTCTAACTTATTTCCATTGGGGTCCTTAATCTTGTCCCCCAGGATGCGACCCACACTAGTCGACTAACACCCAGGTACCTATTTGCTGCTAGGTGAACAGGACAACAGGTGTAAGGAAACGTGTCGAATGTTTCCACCCGCCGGGAATCGAACCCGGCGGGTGGAAACATTCGACACGTTTCCTGATGATCTCAATTCTGTTCTGTGGCTGCAAATAGACAATCACAAGTAATACTCTTTCAATTCTTTCCAAATCCTCATGATTTGTATTCTCTGTTGGTTCCATTACATCTGTAATGGCACCAATACAAAATATCAACCCTTGTTGGGCATCTGTTAATCTAGCTAGGTCCACAAGGGTCTTAGCAGTTTGAAATCATCCAATTTCCAATAGAGCTGTATTTTATAGACATTTATTTTTCCCCCATCCCAAAACTTACTAAATTGTTAGCAGCATTTAGGTTCCACAATAACAACCAAAACACAATTTTCCTTAAATTACACATGGGTTTCTGGCTGTTCTTGGTTCATCCTAAGTTAGCACTTAAGGGAGACTTTCATGTTCCAGGTATGCAGTGACTATACCAGATTTGCCTATGGTTATCCCTGGGTGTGTTACATCTCTATTTTCAGTCATTCCTCCCTGGCTCTCTATGCATACTCTGCCATCAGTCCTCCATGAACATGCCATTATAAATGCAGATGGATTTTTATTGTCTTTAATTACTGTACTACATTCTTATCTTATCTTGACTGGCCCTTTAACTGCTCTTTTTATCTTGCATATACTAGTCTTCTGATGTACATTCTGCCATGAAGGACCTTAGTAGGTTTAGCATTTTATATTATTTAAAACAGAGCTAATAATTTAACTTGCAGATTTGAAGAAAAAGCACAGGTATATTGGGATACTGCTTTTTGAAGTGACATCTGAACTGTCATATCTATACACCTCTGCAAAGACAGTGATTATGTGTGAATGATGGTGAAAAACAAAAGTTTCTCCTTTTACATTTAATAATATATACAGGAGAAGGGGTTACTAGCCCCTTGCTACTGACATTTTAGCTGCTTCTTACGACATGCATGGCTTACAGAGGAAGAATTCTGTTCCACTTTCCCATGAAGATAAGTGGAAGTAAACAAGAACAAGAACTAGTAGGAAAAATAAAAGAAAACCCAGAAGGGTGTGTGTGTGTATATGCTTATACGTGCTTGTGTAGTGTGACCTAATGTAAGTAGAAGTAGCAAGACATACCTGAAATCTTGCATGTTTATGAGACAGAAAAAGAGACACCAGCAATCCTACCATCAAGTAAAACAATTACAGGCTTTTGTTTTACACTCACTTGGCAGGATGGTAATACCTCCCTGGGTGGTTGCTGTCTACCAACCTACTACCTAGGAATTTTTTTTTTTTTTCAACAAGTCGGCTGTCTCCCACCAAGGCAGGTTGACCCAAAAAGAAAGAAAATCCCCAAAAAGAAAATACTTTCATCATCATTCAACACTTTCACCTCACTCACACATAATCACTGTCTTTGCAGAGGCACCCAGATACAACAGTTTAGAAGCATATATAAAGACATACAGTGGACCCTCGTTTTCATAATTACAGTGGACCCCCGGTTAACGATATTTTTTCACTCCATAAGTATGTTCAGGTGCCAGTACTGACCGAATTTATTCCCATAAGGAATATTGTGAAGTAGATTAGTCCATTTCAGACCCCCAAACATACACGTACAAACGCATTTACATAAATACACTTACATAATTGGTCGCATTCGGAGGTAATCGTTATGCGGGGGTCCACTGTAATTCATAATATCACTTTTATGGCAAACATGATATGTATGCAAGGGATGGGGTACATCTCTCTGGGGCTGGGGTGGTAGCACTTGCAGACTCGATTGAGAAGGCCATTGGTGAAATGCCTATGATTTTAAACTGATGGAAGATAGAGGTATGGGTGTGTGTGGGAAACAAGCAGGTTGCAACACTTGGGTTGGAAACAGTAAATGTATAAAAGGCATTCAGCATGAAGTTATAAATAAAGACAATAGATCAGGTCAGCAAAAAAAAGGGGGACAGCAGAGGGCAGCAAGGGACTAGCTCCCTTAAGTTTACTATACTAATAGCAGGAGTGTAAGAAATAAGATAGATGAGCTAAGATTAATTGCAAGTGCAGGAGACATAGATATTATTGCATATAACAGAGACCTGGCTCAATCTGAAAGATAGAGAGATGCCCTCTGAATGTCACATACAAGGCTATAAATTATTCCACACTGACAGGGTCAACAGGAAAGGTGGTGGAGTAGCGATGTATGTCAGAGACAATTTAAATTGTTGTGTTAGACAAGATATTAAATTAGAAGCGTCAGCCACTGAATCTGTTTGGTTACAGCTTCTCGAGGGCCGAGAAAAACTAATTTTGGGTGTGATTTACAGGGCCCCAAATCTTGATAGGGAGTGCAGTAAACTTCTATGGGACGAAATTCGTAAGGCATCTACATACGAAAATGTTGTGCTAATGGGAGATTTCAACTATAGACAGATTGACTGGAGCAATTTGACAGGAAATTTAGAGTCAGGTGACTTTCTTGATACGATCCAGGATTGTTTTTTAAAACAGTTTGTGACAGAGCCAACTAGGGGAAATAACCTCCTTGACTTGGTTCTTGCCAGTAGGGAAACACTAATTAATAATCTTGAGGTTAATGATGAGCTTGGGGAAAGTGATCACAAATCATCAGTTTTAATATATCATGGAATTCCCCTAATAATGGCAATCAAGTCTCCGTCCCTGACTTTCGCTTGGCTGATTTCATAGGACTGAAAAATTACTTAGGTGGGCTGAACTGGAATGACCTGACTAAGGGTCAGGTAGGTGGTGATGGTTGCCGATATGATGCTTTCCAGGGCATAGTTCTAGCTGCTCAGTCAAATTATGTTCCAAATAGGGAAATCAGATCAACAAAAATGATCCAAATGGATGAACAATAGATTAAAATATTGATTGGTCAAAAGAGAGGCATATATAGGCAAATCAAAAGAGAGAGGGGCAATTGAGAAATCGA